AGAAAACACACTATCTATCTCATCTAATAGCTACCCAAAACAAAATAAAATGAACAATTATAGTTTGATAATAAATGAAAGTTCATCTACTGATAGTTCTGAGAACCTGAATGTTGAAGATGATAGTTCTGAGAATCTGAATATTGAAGTTGACAATGCTAAGAATCTGAATATTGAAAATGACAACGAAGAACCGCCAAAAGACAGCCCTAAAAATACAAGTCACCATTTATCTCTAGTTCATATTGAGTTATATTGTGAAAAAACTTTTGAGACATGGGATGAATGTCAGAAGGTATTAGAACATTATGCAAAGCAGAATACTTTGTGATTAGAAAAAAATGTATCAATAATAGCAATGATCTATATCAGCTAACATGGGATTGTGAATAGTTGGGTAAATACATTTCATGTAAGACCACACCACCTGAAAAACAAAAGAAAAAAGGTTCAAAAAGAATAAATTGTTTTTTTCTTGTTAACGTATCTAAGATTAAGGGCTATGGAGATGAAATGGTAATCAAATTAAATTCTATGCATCTTAAACATAATCATTCATTGGTTCCTAAAAATGTAGCTTTTGCTACGAAATATCAAAAGCTTACTACAGAAATAAAAGAACTTATTGAAAGCTACACGCTTTGTAATATTGACGTTCCATCTCAGGTTAGATTGCTTCGTGGGTTGTTCTCTAAAGCAACAATAGTAGATTATGATATAAAGAACTATATTTATAAGTTTCATAGAAATCATGAAATAAAAGATGGTGATGCTGCAAAGCTTCTTCAATATTTTGAAAAAGAGCGTGCCAAAGATCCTGATTGGTATGTTTAACTATTAATTAACTCAGAGACAAATAGGTTACAAAGCATATTCTATATAGTACCTGAACAACAAGAACTTTGGTAATGTTATGCAAATATAGTTCTAAATGATAACACTGCATTAACCAATACCTATAATCTATTATTAAGCATTTTTGCTGTAGTTGATAATAATTTCAAATTGCAGATCATTGCACAGGCTGTATTGCTTGATAAAACAAGTGAAAGTTATAGATGGGTATTACAACAGACAATCAAAGCTACTGGAGTCCAGCTTGGCGTATTTATTATTGATGCTAATCCAGGTTTTGAGAGTATAGTTCTTGAGGTATACCCAAATACCTACTTTCTTTACTGTGTCTGGCATATTGAGCGCAATCTTGAAAAACAATTATCTAAACTTCTTGGTGACCGCTATGCTGATTTTCTTAAAGCATTTTACCATGCCAAAATGTTTTATACAAAGAAGCATTTGAGAGATATTGGAAACAGTTAATAATTGATTTTTCAGAATCAACCGAATATTTGCTAAGCAGCTTGATTCACATAAAACAATATAAACAAAAGTATTTACAAACTGAATTTTTATAGCAAGAATAATATCCACCCAATAGTCTAAATCTATAAATAGTATAATCAAACAAATAGTAAATAGAAAAACACAGCTCCATACTTTGTTCAAATGAATTGAATTACGTATTGCAGAAGAGCAATTTACCGATCAGTTTTTAGCTTGGCATAAAAAAATATCAACATATACAATATCTAGCATTTGTGGAAGGCTTTTCCCAAATATTTATAATATTTTACAGAAATATGTAATATCTAAAATTTTACAATTGCACATTGATCAGATGAATAAAGCAGTTCTGTATAATAGTAAAAAGGTTGACTTTGATAATCTGTATAATTTAACGCTAAACACAGTTGAGAATAGGCCAATTAAAATTGAATATGACTTATATCAAATATGTTTTGAGAAGCTTCTTGAAGGAATTGATCATTCATTAATAGCTGAAATTTGGGAAGTTCATTCTATTGAGAATAAGTCAAGTATTAGACAATATGTAGTTCTATTAAAAATAGCTTTCATTTGTGTATTTGTATCTTGCTATTTGATAGTGGAATTGTATATTACCATTAGTTCTATATTATTTTACAATCTGAAAAAGGTCTCTTTCATATTTCTCTTATTTCAAACCATTGGTATAAGGATGATATTGTGGATACATTAGTTGGTAATAAGCTATTTGTTAAAGCAAAATCAAATGAACATGAAGATTCAGCATCGAATACACTAAGCATACCCTCATTTTTGGCTATTGAAGAATCGTGAAGTACTATATTTATCAAACCACCTGAACAAGCAGCTGCAAAAGTGATTGACCGAAAACAATCTACAAAAGGATCACTACTTGAACTTGCACGCAAATATGTAGAATTGGTTGATTATGATGATCCTAATAATCCTGATATTTTGATAAAAATGTTTAAAGAGTGGATTTACAAACATAAAGAAATATAGTGTAGCAAAAAAATAAACCAGCCACAAAGTACTGAAGATGATCAAGCTTTAGAATATGAGCAAGTAAATAATGAAGTCTCAGAATATGATCAGGTTTTAGAAGAAACAGAAAGCATTCAAGTTATAGAGTATGCACAGGCTTCTTATCTTGAGGTTCAGAATCTACTTCGATATATTAAAAAAGACCAGCTTGCAAAAAAAGCGAATTAAGTCAATAGTTGAAAGAAACAAAAAAATCAAAATAACAAATGATAATTCACACCGTACCTTTTACCATTATAGTGTATATAACAGTAGAGAGCATGATAAATGAAATTGCTCTAGCAAATAATTAGTATGAAAAATGTAGTACTATTTTATTGTTTAGTTTTACTATATATACTTAATTGCATTAACTAAATTGACTTGCTTTATAATATTAACAGTTGCTATGTTTAAAGTGTATTAACAACAAAAATTAATTGACCTTTATTGGTAGTAGTTAATATGCATTAGTTAAATTAAGAAGAATAAAAGCAACAACGTGGTAAATAGCAAAATTCAACTTGTGCTTTGATCTGCAATTCAATTATTATATGGATGTATATTCATATATAAAAATTGAATTACAGATTAAAGCACAAGTTGAATAACATTTGAATTTTGCTATTCAACATGTTAAATATTACTTGCAGCATAACGATTATAAAGAACTAGGGAAGTTTGTTATTAAAAAAAGTATCTAATATTGTAGCTGGTATTTCTGATTTAAGTATACTTTTATTGTAATATATACTAAGAATATTATTAAAGGTATGTGTAGTTTTAAGAACTTATAAAATCTGTCTTTTATAAATGAATCTCTTCAATAGTTAGGATTAGGATGTGTACTAATATTGTTCTTTTTCATATAGAGTTATAAGAAAAATTAAATTTGTCTTTTATAAATAGATCTTTTTCGATAGTTAGAGTTAGTGTGTTTACTATTATTGTCTTTCTCCATATAGAGATTATAGAAGAAATATCTTGTCTAAAAGTTTATTTATTTTTTATTCAATTTGCCTTTTAAAAATGAATCTCTTTTGATAATTACGGTTAAAGCATATGCTAAAATTGTTGTTCTTTGTATAGGCATTATCCCTTAGATTGTAGTAGAATACAGACAAATTTGCCTGCGTTTTTACACTTTTTTAGCTCTGATTTACTTTTT